AGTACTAAAAAGAAGAATTAATATCATTATGATGCTTCGTAACAGAATTAAGATATATTTACGAATGCTGTACTCGCATTTGTACATGAGTGTAATAAAGATATTACTTTTCGCGGCTTTTATCATTTACCCGAGGGATTAATACGTACCCATCAATGATATGTGATAACTAGTCATTCCATGGTAATTATTTACAAAAGGGGACCCAACTCCGATGATCTTGACCTTGACATATGTTGTCAAAGTCAACATTCTGGACAATTTTTCCCTATACATGTACCCGTCACTTGGGCTTAGTTTTTTTAGATATTCGCAAAAAACTGTTATGGCGCGAAAATAACTTTTGATGTACCGATTATTATTCTTAGAAACCTATAGCCTAGTCATTTAATTTTTCCTCACAACCGGGGATTTTTAGTTTAAGAAGAACACGACGAATGTGTCATTTGAAACATACAATAAACATGTACACAAATAGATAAAGTAATTTCGTTTCGCAGTATTCTTCGTTATATTATAATGCATTATATTCTTATGTTTCCACATATTCTTTTGACTTTGTGTGAAAATTTTGTACTCACATCATCATGCATACATATACGCACACATATTCTAATATCCGACTAACAAATGTGAATACACGTTGATGTATAACTAAAAATAATCCAACTTGTGCAGTATTTGGACTCATTTCTATTATGAAAATTTCAGCAACCCATTAAACATATTATACTTTCATTAAGAAACAACGAAAATTATAAAAAATTTCATTTATGTCTCACTCACTCGCAGTGTCTATCTAGCTTGACGTCCGAGCTCAGTGCTCGGTGTTATATTAATTGCCACCAGTTCAGACAAATCGAGAGATCTACTCCGCGAAGCCTAAAAGTAGCCTACTCGTGAATACTACTGTATAACGAAATTCGAATCTGTTTAAAAAATTAATAGAAACACTATGAGGATTTTATTGCAAATGTTAGTATAAAAATGTAATCCAATATTCTACAAGCAATTTCTATAAATTCGTGTCTTTATCAACGTTTATTTACAACTGTATTAAGCATAGATACTGCCAAAACTATGTAAAATGTAATCAATGTTCTGAACGTAATATTAAAAAAAAATACGAAATATTATTGTTATACAAATGTAAAGAGACCAACCTGCCGACGCGCAACTTGGGTCGGAATATCATACACGGATGAAAGATAATGTAATATCTCCCGTGTCGTAGAACCCTTTACTTCACGAAGGTTTTTAATCGCTGAGATCACCAGTGCAATTGTTTTTGCCGAATCGGTCACCATGATTGCAGTGTATTTGTTATTGAGTCAATAAACACCTCAAATCTGAAAATAATTCTTTAAGCGTGAATAATCTGACGATGAAGAATATTATAGAAAGCTTAATGCTCTCCATTATTATTATTATGGTATCGTTATTGGATTTATTGTTCTTAAGAACACTATTATTATAACACATATATTATTTCTAACGCTTCTAAAAACATCTGCTTCAAACTTGCTTCATTCGTTACGACTAGAAGCTTGTATTCTCTATCTTATAAGAATATTAATACATTATACTTTTTTGAATTGACTATGATTCAGCGTAACGAATTAACAAGCCGTCGAGGTTTGGTCGCTACGTTCAGAGATGTCTATATGTATAGTTAATATTGTCACTGCTTATATCACAATTTACAGGTTTTGTGTTCACATAACAAAACAAACTAACCAATAATTATTATATAACAAAAATAAATAACTTAATTATTCGTACGATAATTACTTTAGACTTTGAGAACATTATAAACATGTACAATTTTTTTCACAATCATTTTCCATATATTAACAAAATTTGATTGTATCACGTAATTTAGAAACATTATTAATTAAAAGTAATTACATTTCATAAAATTTAATCAATATACGTATATATTATAAGCAAGAAAAATATACCTTTATAACGGAGATAATAATCTGACGTATAGATAGTCTGCGCCCCTGTTACTTCTGAAAACTCCTTTCATTGACGTGTAAACTTCAATCTACGATTTGGTAATCTTGAATTCTTTATAAGGAAATACTAGAAATTTTTCATTACGACAAGAAGCCAAAAATTTCTTGTGTCACATTGCTGACAAATAACCAACGGACGAGCATCAACGTTTACAAATGAACGATGATATTTTAAGTACCCCTCGATATCAGTATCTCGAAACAATTTCGTGCATATCGATCATCAGAAAACTTTTCTATCAAGCTTCATAAAATAATATGAAATGCAGTGGTCGGGAAGAAAGCGTTACACGGAGCAACAATATTTAAAAATGCTAATCGATGCAGGTACTTTCGTAAAAAGTTCGTCGATATAGAATGTAGAAGATGTAAATTGCCGTAATAAATCATAATAGATACAACAAGTGTCTTTTACATGCACTAGCTTTTTCCCCAGGGTTTTTGCGTAAACTATATGTACTAATCAATTTAGCGAATTCTAAATCGTTCAATTATAAAACTACAATGTTGATAACAACAACATAAGTAACTGAATCAACAAATGTGGAAATGTATAAAATGTTTGTGCAAAACAAGATAGATCACACCATTACGTTAATAACGGATAGGAAAAATGGTAAAAGAAAAGCATGATAATGTAGTATAATTAAAATAATGATCTATCTTACGATCATTAATAAAAAAATGATACGTGCAACATTACATCCTATTATAACTAATTAATGTAGAATCGATTGATGTGAACACGATTGAAGGCAGCAAATATAACACTGTTCAACAAATTCGGACTTTTTTACGGACTTGTAACATTCAATAGCCGCTTCTGATATAATTTTGTGCCCTGAATACGAATCTGCAAACGGTATTTTGTCAACATCCTCAGTTTTCGAGAAAATTGATTTTGAAAAAAACGCAAATTTTCAACATTGAACCTTTCGAGTGTTCAAACAGTTATGGTTATTCGATTGATTGTTGCATCAAATTATTCTATTAACACTCTCGAATAAAATTGTATATGTTGTTATTGCATTATGGAAATTTAAACATGTTTAAACAATGCTCAAAGGAAAACGGATACCGGAAAAACATTTGTCTGTATCTTTGTTAAACAACATAGTTATGCGATAAAGTTTGCTTTATTTTAAAGACAAACGATCATACTTTCCGGTGGTATATATCAAAATTGCAAAAAAATATTGTTTGCACTCTGTAGCACTTGATGAACATCAAGGAAAAATACAGTTTGGCACACTCCTATTTAAGAGTGTATTTTACCGTCTAGACAACCAGTTTGATAAAATTGATTTAATGAACCAAAAACTAGAAGGTTCAAACTTTAAAATGGTTTTTGTTTCATCAATTTTGGATGAATATTAGCAAATGCCTAGATGATTATTTGATTGAATTTTCAGATTCCTAGGCTCTACTATTCCTTTTGTTCTAAATTTCAAATATTCGCTAAAAAATGAGTTTTCAAATAGGAGTAGTTTTGTGAACTATATACATACTGAAATACTTGCACTATATTGTAACAAAATTTTTATATCATATTATATTATATTGTATTATATTATATTATATTATATTATATTATATTATATTATATTATATTATATTATATTATATTATATTATATTATACGAGGGTCATCTCAAAAGTAATGCACAAATGCGTATAAATGAAAAGGAATTTATTGAATTTTAAAATACTTTTACAGCCCTTCAATACAATCTTTTTGGTGATCTATGTACTGCTTGTCAGTGTTTGGGTATGTCTTGAATAAGTACCGGTTACTTCTTCCTTGAAGTTGAGCTCTTGAAAGCCGTGTACACATCTGAGCATTCGGCCCCGAATGTACACCAAACGAGCGCCGGACGTGCGCCAAAGAAGAAAACGTGCCCTGCTGCGGACAGCGAACCGAGCACGAACTGAGCGTTCGGCGAGCATTTCGGTCCATTTCCTTCGTTGTCGGTACGTCAAAGTGAGCACGCTATCGGATGGAAAGTCGATGAGTGTTGTAGATGTGAATGGAGAACTTCCCAATGACGGAGAATCGCTTGAATCCAAAAAGTTTGCAACATTATTTTAATACTTTCAGTTATTCTAGTATGGTATCATTTAAAGAAGTCAATTCTGCATAGACTAATATCACATGTCACCTGTATTTTCGGGCCTGATGGGATAAAATTCGTTTCGGTCGTTGTCAATAACGAGATATTGGTTACTGCAGTTCTTGGCGGTCGCGAGAAGTTTCTGCATCCCCGCTGTTAGAAAGTTGATACGTTATCCCCTATATTTTTGTACGCTTTTTGAGACTGAACACATAGTTTAACATTAAATATAGTAGTACTATTAAAGGAGTTCAGTTTGAATCACAAATGATGTATCTTCGTGTAGATATTTCTCTAAGGGATATTCCATGTAAAGTCGGACATTCTTTGGAGTAACATTCCGGATTTTGTTGAAATTTGAATATGTTATACTTTTTAATGCTACACGTGTAAACGTATCTCGAAGAATTTCTGAAAATTTAAAAGTTTCTTGATTTTATAGCTGTTTGAAATATAGTGTCAACCTTTTTTCAATGAATTATAACTGCTGAATTAATAAACTGTTCAAAATAAGCTTTGTGGGTGCTTGCAGTGCAGACATAACAGAACCTAACAAAACTTACTTCAGTTAAAAACAATATTATTTAACTATTTATTTTGCAATTCTTTTAAGAAAATGCAATTTCGTAATTTGAGCCGACGTATTTTTCCTTTTCATTTTAACGAAACACAACTCGCTACTCAAAAATGACAATGACCACTTTTACGCATAAACGAGTACGTGAACTTGCCAGCTATATAACGAGCGTATATAAAATGTTGTTCGTGCGTTAGGTGCTGCTTGCATGCGCTGTATGCATTACTTTTGGGATGACCCTCGTATTATATTATATTATATTGAAATGGAAAATGCATCTTTGGTTTGCAGATTTTTATATTCCATGTAGCTCGGGGTCCATTCGTTGAAGAATTCTCACAGTGTGTAACTCATGGGTTCTACACTAAACACTGGCAAGAACAACTTTATGTGTGCTTCAGTTTATTTTTTATGTTCCTTCTTCCTCTAATTATTCTTATAACAACATATGTGTCGACAGTGATTACAATCTCTCGTAAGTATGCATATACATTATATTTACATTTGTCGTATTATTACTTCTGAAACTTTTTGTTATAACATTGTATTACGGATTTTCGTATTGATTTGATATTATCTGAATATTACGCAATAAATATTTTTAAAAACTTGTTTATTAAAACAAATGACTATTATCAGAAACCTTTTATACTTTACTCAATAGAAATGACATAATTTTTTAAAACATTATTAATCTTTTGAGCGCTATGAACACATATATCCATCCAATGAATAATATCGACATTTCAATACGCGATACGTAAAAAATTATACAGGGACCTCGTGATTATTGACTTATTGTTGATCCACGATTATTGTCCAGTCGTCATCCCCACCACTGAGAGGGGGTTGGGGGGGGGGGCGTGGAACTCTGCAAACGCATACTTTGTTGCCCCGGCCACAGACGAGGTATAGGAGTGGACATTTCGTCCAATATATTTTTGCGGCCCACTTTTCTGGGGTTACGTACCCCATTTATATTTTAGTGTCACTACCCACCGCAGATTCACCGTTCTCAAAACGTAGAGGTCGCTAAAATCATTATTCAGAATCACTTTCTACCCAGACTTCCGATAGTTATACTGATTTTTTGCAAATGTATGTAAATATTTCGTATATTATAAATGTCTACAGTCTTAGCTTCTAGAAGACATAAATACTTTGTGAAATCACTCAGCCAAAATTACATAATATAGCCCGAAAGAAACATAACCTAATACGATAATACACGTTGATTTCCTAAAGACATATAACAAAAGGTGCACGTTTCTACACGTTCTTACTAGTACTGTTTCGAATAGTTTATGTATTTAATCTTATTTTATGTATATAATTATTAATAAGTAATCATATACGGTGTTACGCTGCTTTTTGACAGCGTAACGCGACCGCTCCAAATTCGAGTAGGGCTAAAAAAGGGCGGAAAAAAAATACAGATGTTTTTCTAAGAATATGCAAGATACATGCAATATGCGAAATATGCAAAATAAAAAAAATATATTTTTGGAATCCTCTAATAATGAAACATATTTCTGTCAAAGCCCAATTTTTTAAATCCATTTCTCCTGTCTAAGTAGCAATAATGTTAAAAATAATCCAATTTATTGCTGCGTTTGATGCATTTTTATCTGAAAAATCTGAGTAGTATGTTACTGCAACGTTCATGCCGATCAGATTTAGAAGGCGAAATTATTCCATGCTACTAATACAAGGTGATCCTCTCGTTGTGCAAGTCAAGGATCATGCCGCCGTGAATAACCACATGTGTGTATGACCCCAAGGCGTCATGAACAGTGGAGCGGTACCTGACGGGTTGAATAAATTTCCTTCCAATAAAAAAATTATCTTTTGTCGTCGAATAAATTTATTCGTCCGTGGTGTTTCGAATAAAGATAATCGAGTTCTCCGAAGTTTCGAATAACGAATAAAGATAAATTAGCTTTCATTTAAATCGTTATATAAAATTTTTTTATCTAGATAATGCCCATATCTGCCTTGTCGTATTTATTTATTATGCCTACTACAACTACCACTCGGTCAATCCCTATAACCCATGTTAATAAAATAATTTCATACGGACCTAATATAGAAATTAATCCCTTCTTCTGAATATTAACAAATTCTGGACGGCAGTGAATTTCAGAAAGCACTGTCTCCCACTTGCATTTCTTAAAACTGTATAACTCGGTTTTGCTAAAATAATTTTTATTATTTGAATTTTCTATGCTGTAGCTGAGTTTTTTTAACTACAACTAATAAAATAGTATGCTGATTTATTAATAATTCAGCAGCCCATTTTAATGTTTTACCAATTGTGGCAGCATGGTCATTTGTACGTCTTTTCGTCAAGAATGATTTTACAAATTAAATTATGATCCTCACTTTCTGTTAATTATGATGGAATGAACCACCAGTATGCCACGCCGTCCTGAAAGTGTTAGTATTCTGATATCTTCTTTATTGGCAGTCAATTTATTTCTGTAATATTAAAAGTATAATATTTTCAGGAAGCGAAAAAATTTTTAAGCTGGCGTTAACTAACAATAATGTGTGTCACATGAACAGAGACATAAACAGAAGAAAACTGATACATCGAGCTAAGACCAAATCATTGAGAATCAGCGTTGTCATTGTCGCAGCTTTCATCATATGGTGGACGCCTTATTACGCCATGATGATAATTTTCATGTTTCTTAATCCTAACAAACATGTAAGTAACGTATTTTTTTCTACTAAGAATACTCTTGGAGCTACATATATAATAAACAATTACTTCGTACAGTTAAAGCCGCGTTCCCATTGCGTCGACATTTGCCGATTGACACGGGCGCTGCGTTGGCTTTTGCCAGTGGCACAGTACTGCCGAACAAATTAGCTGATTTACATTGCCAATATTTTTTGGTACGTCCCCGTTTCATCGCATTTGTTTAAAAAATACAAGTCGTCAATGTTTGCAATTTTTGCCTACTTTCGTGAAACTGGTACCGGTGTAAGTACTTATGCATTTTTATGTCGGAACCTTTTCATCGTATTGTGGTGGCTGTAGCACCACGCACGCCAATGCATATTTTGCTTCTAAAAATTTCTCTTTCCTTTTCAACTCTGTTACGCTATTATTCTTTATTTCCTGTCTGCTGGTCGCACATTTGGTGACAAGCCCTTCACTAATTTCCAACGCATCCTTGAGAGCGTCGCCAGAGTTCTGGTTTTCGTTAGTCTCGGTCCTTCGCCTACCTCTTAACTTTCTCTGTTTATGACTCTTTTCCGCTGTCCCTATCGCTGTCGCTGACTTTTCAAGTTTTCCTTTTCTATTCTCTTTTCTTTTTCTCTCCCATATTTTTTTGCCTTTTCTAACTCCGAGGTATTTAGGAAATGCAGCGAGAGTAGGCACTGGCAGTCGATGGTAAGCCTCCGAGACTACAACACCAACACTGCACTAATATTCGCGCTTACCGATTTTACTAAATAAATGAAGTGAGGACAATTTCTATTATTTTATACCACCTTACCCACCTCAGTATTGAGTTCATTTTTTCTTTCCTTTACTTTAAAAGGTTTGGCCTATTTGAATAATATTTTTTTTTTGCAAAATCGTTTTTATAACATGGAAAACAAGAAACACATTCTCCTTTTGCAAATTTCTCTCGGAGGATCGTATGCCGCTAAATTTGAAAAAAATATGACCATATTCGTTCAAATGCTACCTACGAGTTAAGTTGCTTTTGAAAATGGAGATATTACCGTAGAAAGCTTACGAGAGGGGCTCCTGGAAAATTAAAACTATTTCCTGCCTGCAAAAGTTTCTCAAAAAATTATTTATTCTCGTATACATGTTTAAGTTTGATATTCAAAGGTTCTCGTTAATATGTGAAAAACACTGTGCATAAGAAAAGGAAAACGGACTACGCGTCGTGACACCGGCGATCGCGCGTGGATGCTGACATTCTAACATGTACCTTTGTATGAATTTTTGCATGCGATTAAATAGGGGAAATAGAGGAAAAATCGAAAAATTATTGTTTAAGAGATTGTTTGTTCTTGGAAAGCTATGAAATGATATATCATGAGTCTAAATTGGTATAAGGACACTTTGATCCACTTATCTGGCTATACCCTTTTTAACATCAAACTAGCTGTAGACATATGGACGCATTGCATGTTATCGCTTTGACAAAGGAAGGCATAGAAGTGTCCCCCTCCGATTTTGATGAAACTTCGTATGTCTGTTAAGCAGTCAAAAATAAGGCATACACAAAAATGAGGGATATGTAATTTTTTCATCGGCTGAGATGCGACTTTAAGGGGTAAAACCACCCCTCGAAGTTTCGATCCGAAATTTTTTTGTTATAAACAAAAATTGAGTTCATTTTTTCTTTCCTTTACTTTAAAAGGTTTGGCCTATTTGAATAATATTTTTTTTTTGCAAAATCGTTTTTATAACATGGAAAACAAGAAACACATTCTCCTTTTGCAAATTTCTCTCGGAGGATCGTATGCCGCTAAATTTGAAAAAAATATGACCATATTCGTTCAAATGCTACCTACGAGTTAAGTTGCTTTTGAAAATGGAGATATTACCGTAGAAAGCTTACGAGAGGGGCTCCTGGAAAATTAAAACTATTTCCTGCCTGCAAAAGTTTCTCAAAAAATTATTTATTCTCGTATACATGTTTAAGTTTGATATTCAAAGGTTCTCGTTAATATGTGAAAAACACTGTGCATAAGAAAAGGAAAACAAATCATATTTTGTACAATTTGTTAGCACCATATTATTCTACATAAAAAACCGCAAACCTCGTCCATTAGAAGTTTTCATGATCTCATCTGGTTTTCGAGATAGTACTTTCGGGTCGAAACTTCGAGGGGTGGTTTCACCCCTTAAAGTCGTGTCCCACCCGATTAAAAAAAATACGTATCCCTTATTTTTGACTACTTAACAGACATACGAACTTTCAACAAAATCGAAGGGGGACACTTCCGTGCCTTCCCTTGTGAGTTTGTAGACACCGAGCATATTTATTTAATAGGTCGCTATTTAATTATTTATTCGTACAAACGGCGAAAGTATTCAAAATTTTCAAAAGCATACTATACTTACATTGCACATGTTATAACGACATGATATATATGCTGTCGACACCATGTATTAAAACGTTTATATTATTTTCAGCTTAGTGAGGAATTACAAAGCGCAATCTTCTTTTTCGGTATGAGCAACAGTCTAGTAAATCCTTTAATATATGGTGCATTTCATCTCTGGCCCCGAAGAAAACGCCAGAATTCATACCACAGGTGAAGTATAAGAACACTAAAATGGAACCTTGATTACTATTAATTACAGATCTAAGTGTAATGAATGAATTTCTAAATAATAGAATACGGCATTACGTCAAATATCGTGATGTGAGAGTTCGTAAGATAGAATACTTGCAATAAATACTTGCAATAAAAAAAACTGTTTATGTATTATTATAAGACTCACTGATAAATTACTAACATTGTCTTTATGAAATCAAACATGTAACGTGTATAACTTTTAGTTGCGCTTACAATAATGCATATTTTATTGATTTTAATACTTGGATGATGGATGATGTAGAAGTACGTCTTCTTTACTTTCTGCTTTTGCAGGGAATTATCGACGACACAGCGTAGGCTTACGCCAACAATGAACACTGAAAGCAGCTACAAACGAGAATCACGAGACTCACGAGTACCATTTTTATCAAAAAATACTTCAACTACTACTATGTGAAAAAGATAAAACACCAAGCTTAAATTTTCGTTTAAGGAAGAACTCCTAGATCGGGAAGAAGTATTTTTCATCAAACATTCACACACACCGAGCGAAGCGATAAAACTATTCATATTGTCACACTATCTCACAATCAGAGTCGCATCCTTGTCGGACGGAATATGGCATACCCGTGCGTTTTTTAATCGCTTATATGTCGGAGTCAGATTCATTATTTCAAACATTCTATTTTTTCACTGATTCTCCAAACATCGAAGAAAAAGACTATGTATGTTAAAATATCATAAATATGCCAGTATCAAAGATATTCTGAAAATAAAGAACAAACGATCCACTTCACTCCTCCTGTTAGCCACATGAAATACTCCGTCTATTCTTTCATTCTTATCTCTTTGGTGCTGTCCATGCATATCGATGACGTGGACACAAGGAGCCACGGCTGTTCGAGAGGAACGGAATTGTTTAGTTCAGTTGAACCCAATCGGAATTTCGGTTGGAAATTGGGTCAACTGTATATTTCTCTGTCTGAAATACCGCAGGAACGCTTTGTAAATGTAAACAATTTATTGCGAATAATTAAATAATGAACGTATGTTAATATTCAGCTACGTGTCCCTCAAATTAAGTGAATTACAGACGTTTTATTTTCTTGAAAATTAGTTTCAAAGGATGCAGGAACTGGTCAGATTCGTTTCGTAAATAAATCAAAACCATGTATCGGTACACTGTTTTTTGGATTATCAAATATCACACGGAGTTTTTTAGGAAGTAGTATCCCTGATAACCAGTTGTGTACAAGTTTCGAGAAAATTGCCAGCAAGTAATGACAAAAGTTGTCTTAAAAACCATAGGCATTTGGTTCCGCATTTTTCTTCGGTTTTGCAGGCAATGCCTGCTAACAAAATGGTGAAGCAAATTGGCAGCAAGTATTGTAACATAACCTGTGTTAAATTGGCGGAAAAAACGGAACGGAACTCGTCATCGATAATGGTTACGTGCAACCAAAAACAATTTCCGTCCTTGATAATGGTTACCCGTAACGAATATAATTTCTGTAGCCAATAATGGTTAGACGTAACCAAACAAAATTTCCGTCATCGATAATTGTTATTGGCTACCATAAAATGTTACTCGTTTATAATAGTTATTCGTAATCAACATGATTCACACAAAGATATTAACTCTTACACGTCACTTTTTAAATTGAGGTTACAACAGTTAAGATCTCTTATTTCATGACAGTTGTACATGATATAACGGAGCGTCAGGAGTAGCATTGATGAAATGTAATACCTACTTTCGTTTAGAAGTGTTTCTTTATTAACTTTATGTATCGATAGCTATGTATCAAAATTCATTTCTAAAAATAAAAAATTGATCTTGATTATGTAATACGGTTTTTTTATTCAAAACACCAATACATATTCTATAAGTGGTAACAACCCCTAAAATTTATTTTTTGAAAGGTATAGAAAAGGTACTGTAGTAGTTTCTTGGGACTTAGAACATATTCAAAATGTCTCACAATGAAATTCCGAAAAACATTTTATTGGCCCATATCAGAATCAATCTAACCTACAGTCTAGCTGTAACATCATGTTCTATTGGCTTCCTTGTGTAGGTCACCATCATTATAATGTTATGCTTAAACTCATTTTTATTAAGAACATCTTGAGAATAAGTTAAATATTCTTCGATATAAAGAAAACAAAAAATTTCAAGATTTTCTGATTTTCTGATAACTTAGCGCATGTCCTACTATTTTTTGGTGAGCAAGACGATTATTTAGAATAATTCCAGAATTATTTGGACTTGTAATCGTCATTTTTTTATGGTTGTCTAGCGAATATGCTTTAATGCATTACTATAAGTTGCCATGAGTATTCTGAATAGCAGGGATAAAATAGACAAAGTCGCCTATTTCGATGACTCCACTGAAATTAAAAATTAAGACTTACATTAATATATCGATTCGAATTCACTGATCGAAAACCTACAATACAGTCTGCGTAACAAGAAATGTGCTACCCATATCGTCTTAAACAATTAATTAATTGTAAATGTACAAAATAAGAACTTACTGCTACTATTCCTTAAAACTGGTTTCTCGTTCTCGATTTCATTCTGATACAAACGGTAAAAATTTTACTACCGGCAAACAAACGAATACCCGTTTTGCATAAATAACTAAATAAGTTTTAGACTCGACAATATCAAAAATTGTATTTACATTAATATTAATTTTTCATTTTACAGTAGACTCGGGTAATGTAGTGCATGTAAAGTAGCGGTAGGAACGCCCCAGTCACTATCAGTCGACATCTGTAACCAAAGTTCTGATCCAATTGGTGGATCGATCGAACTGCAACGAGGTCCTGCGTGCCCATTGGCTCGCGTTAAACTAGCGTTTCCAGGAAAAATCCGCCTCGAGAGTCCCTCACAGCTACTTTAACGCGAGTCTACTGTATACCACTCTTTCTCGATTACGTCGTATTTCGGCAGTATTACGACTTGTATAAATAACCAATGCATTAATTATTTTTCAGCAGGTAAAACACAACGACGTGGAACTTCCTAATAATTTATAATAAATTACAGACACAAACTTGAACAACAAAACGAACAGTTTCGTATCGGAAGTAACAATATTATCAAAACGTTTCACGAACAACTATCCTGCTGTTCTTTACCTACTAGATTTCTTTAGTTCAGTGTTCATTAGATGTAAATAAATTATATATTTATGTGTAAAGAAATACTTGCCATGCACGAAATGATAATATACAGTGGCAATAACATGTTAAATCGTTGATGCAGTGACTATAGATATAATAAGGCTACGGATGCCATTGTTATCGAGGGGTCATGGATTTTGGGTGCCTGAGGACCCCAGGGTAAAGTTAGGTCTCAATCACCACAGACGAGATTCTCTCGACAATAATGGTATCCGTAGTCTTATTATATCTGTAGTCACTGGTTGATGTTAGTCTACATTGAAGTAATTCGCGGTTACATTCAAGTTTATCTCGTGAGTAGTATAAACTTCCATAATACACATTCGTACGTAAAACCTACAATTCGCTATTTATTATTCGTAATGTCTCTACCTAATACATCATTATTCCGACTTAAATTCGTTTTAAGCTTCTTCTTGGTTCTTTATTCGTCTCTTAAAATTGCGATTAAATTCGTTAGTTACGTCCAACTAATCGTTTATTTGTAAAGCTGTATTCATTTTTGTGTTTAAATGTTCCCCTGCGGAACATAGCTACTGGAGTGGCTAAAATGGCGTCACTCGTTACTATTGGATCCTTTAGTTTTGATCATGTCATTAGTAAGACAACAAGAAACAAATTCCCAGATAACTTCATTTCTTATTTCCTTTCATTCGGACTTGTATCATTTCTTAAACTTTTTCTTCATTCCCCCGAAAAACAAGGCATGCGGTGAATCTCATACAACGTAGATTGAATCCTTGCACACAGATATCCTGGCTTCTTGAAGAATCCTTAGTCGCGGACCCAGGGGAACTCCCATTTTTTGCAACCTCTCCTCGCTTAAGTAGGGAAGCTCCACCATACCAACCTTCTCCTTTTCAAATGCGTTTGCGTATTTCTGCAAGAGAAATGAAAATAAAATTGTCTAACATGATGCATAAGAAATGTTATGGCTGAAAAGGTATTCTAATGTGGATAAGGTAATTTGCTAAATGTTTTTAACTATAAATTGTACACCACATGTCTGAACTATTTACAACAACTTAACACGATCGCTATCAGCACATTATTCTACGCTAGACATTCAGCATTCTACTCAATGGAATAACCTTACCTTTTGGATCATAAATTAAAAATACACAAAGTAGAGATAATGACTGACACAAAATACATGTTGCAAAACCCATTACACTTTTATCTAAGAAAGTATGCTGACATGGAAATCGGAGCGTTCAACAAGTGACGCTGGTAGCGAAGGTGTTAACTGGTAAATAAACATTATTAAAAGAAACGTAAGATCAGGGAATGCATGAAACCGTTATATTAATTATGATGAATAAGAGGTATTTGCAAACTTTTAATTTTAAAAACGGTTTCAACTCCTCGGAAAATACATTTAATGGATTGATGAGATTTTTGCGATGAAAATGAGTCTTGTTAACGCAGGTAGGAGGAGGACAATGAATTATCAACGCTAGTCGCGGTTGAACACAAAAGTATTTAACCCTCCGAGCACGGTCCCTGGGTCACGCGTTCGCGAGAGCGACATGCACAGTGCAGAGTCAGGAGTGGGGACACGCGTCTCGAGAGCGAAACGTACGCAGTGACGGAGCTGTCGTGTAAATCGCATAGCGACCGATGTTTGTTTACATGCGAACGGCCGAGCCAAGAC